CTAGTTTTCAGCCATTTTGGACTTGGGTAGCATGATTAGCCACAAATCATGATTAAAATACACTTTGAGCTAACCACAGATCTGAACTGGTATTATCTTTTGACTGCCATGCTCCTGTAAGATTGTCCACATTGCAATGCCACCCTTTGGGTGGAAAGCTTAAGGGTGACTGTTATTAAACGTTATTTATTTAAAGTGTGCGTATAGCAATCGCAATAGCCCTTAGACTTATATACTGCTTCACAGTGCTTTTTACAGCCCTCTCTAACCGGTTTACAGAGTCAGCCTCTTACCCCCTAACCAGTGACGTGCGGTGAGGTTTATGGCTGGTAACGACGTGCCTCATTACATCAGGAATTTTTCGGCTTTTAAGCCTTGCTTAGCTCTGCTCGAGTGATCATAAAGTCAGACTAGATGAGGTACCTCGTCTCCTCCTGTAGTTTTTTAGAGGCTTTTTAAAACAGTTAAGCACTAAGCAGAGTCATCCACTGTGACTCTGGCAGCAAGTAGCTCAGCCTTTTTCCTTTTACATTTTTTTTCTTTTCATGATGACTGTGGTGAGGCCCTGCCTCCTCTGCCTTCCCTAACTGCATGTCCCTGCCCCTAACTATCAGGGCCCTCATTTACCGATCTTGGAAGGATGGAAGGCTGAGTTGATCTTGAGCCTGATTGGAATCGACCTGCCTAATTGCAGGCAGCCGGCAGTCAGCAGAAGTAGCCTTCAGTATTGCACTCTAACCACTGCGCCACCACGGCTCGTGTGTGTGTGTGTGTGTGTGTGTTTGTAGAAATACAGAGAGACTCATTTTGTGTCAATTATTTTATTAGAATTTTGTACTAAGTTGCATAAGGCATCGCATACTTTGATTAGTAATTATTTAGCATTCCAAGGCATGGGCACAAGCTACATATAATAATCGGCTAGGTTTTGTTCCCCCATGATCTCCAAGGGGGTTGGCAGGGATTGGGAACAGAGGTGATAAAAGCGGAACAGGGATTAACAACGGGACAGCAAGTATCACCACAGAATAGTTTCTGAGGAAAGAATTTCAAAATTTGCTTCATTTGGAGGCTGACACTGTGACGTCCATCGACTTCCTCCTACCCCTGCTGACCATGGATGTCCATCAATCCAGGTTTCTACCTGAAAGGATAGGAGATGAGAGGAGGAAAAGGAAGAAAACATCACCATATGGACGGCCTGGAACCATCCAGGCCCATATACGTACCTTCTCAGCAAGTTCTTGGGTCCTTAACCGAATAACAGAGTCGGAAGGGACCTTGGAGATCTTCTAGTCCAACCCCCTGCCTAGGCAGGAAACCCTACACCACTTCAGACAAATGGCTATCAGATCTCTTCTTAAAAACTTCCACTGTTGGAGCATTCACAATTTCTGGAGGCAACTTCTGTTCCACTGATTCATTGTCCTCACTGTCAGGAAATTTCTCCTTAGTTCCAAGTTGTTTCTCTCCTTTATTACTGCTGCCTGCTATGTTTTCTGTTCCTCCTGATTTTCCTGAGATCTTTCTCCCAGGAGGCCACATTATCATCACTTTCTGACTGCTGTCAGTTGCTATAAATCAGGTTTTTGCCATTTATTTTAAGTGCTTTCCCGCATTTTGCTCCCGTGATCAGTCGTATGTGATGATAATGTGGGAGAAGGAGAGCAGAATGAAAGCCCAAGAATTCGAGAGAAGGGCAATCCCGCCCTGGGCAAACATGAGGAAGATGGGAAGACTTCACGAAGTAATTATGAAAGGCCATAAGGGAAAGGCAACTGCCCCCCCCCCCTTCGCCCCCCCAGCACTTCCATTCTCTGTGCCAGGACAGCATAGAATAGAATAGAATAGAATAGAATAGAATAGAATAGAATAGAATAGA